CCTTTCTCAGAGCTCCGGGAAACATCCTTTGTTGAGAACCCTCCTTGCACGTCACCTTGCGCGACATGAAATATTTTTTTCAAAATATGTAATCCTTTAATCTGGGCCCCTAGGTGAAATCAGTTCTTTATCACCCACGACCATCTGTTGTTCTGGCCACGCAGTAAATAACTGGGGAGATTTGACTTCTAAGGCGCTTATCTCTTTGTTCTCTCCAAATTCTGAGAAATGACATTCGAGTTTTCCCCAGAGAACAGGGGCACATCTAGAATCGGCCTCCCTGCCTCCTCTCCCGCTCGGGGCTGCCATTCATGAAGTCACGGACTGGCGGCGTTGGAGGTGGGTGAAAAGCGCTTTGCTTCTGATCTGCAGGTTCCATTAAATCTCACAAATGAGGCTCAGAGTGAAAACAGGCGAGGCGGAAAAATGCACCGTCCCTTTCAGGTGACGCTCGGTGCATTCCTGATCACTTCACCCTCCCAGGGCGGCTGGGGCAGCTGTCGCCTTGGATTAGGATTAACAATGGCGGGGCCCGCACCAGCCCAATTTAGTTAATTCTGGAGCAAATGAACCGAGCGCTAGTGGCGTGGGAGTCTGGCCCCTGCTCACAGCTTGGAAATTATTGGTGGCAGTACAGACACGAGGGAGATCTGGAGGACAGGGTGACACAAAGACTGACCCATGCGCTGGTCTCCCCTTTGGGGAGAACCACCAGCCTCCTTAAGCCATCGTTCCTTTATCTACCAGATGTTGGCTTAGTGTTCATTGTTACTTTTCACAAATCTAATGACCAACATCTAGAAGACAGGAAGGTGATTCTCTGGGTGACGCAGGCATGGGGACAAGGAGACCATCCCCCCACCCGCTGGCCTTCCTCTCCCTCCCCCCCCAGCTTGGCCTTTGCTGCTTTCTGCCCCCACCCCCACCCTGTGCCCCTGTCTCAGGCCCTGAGGATCCCTGGGAAGCAGCTGAACGCCCCAGGTCTGGGATCTGGGTGATGCCAGCAATTCTCGGGGTGCCCATCAAGGTCTGTTCCCAGTGACCTGACGCCCCCTGCTGGGCACTGGCAGCAGTGCATGGAGTTTGCAGCTATAGTGACGGCCATGCACACGCCGTGGTGCCCTGGGCCCGCGGTGGCACTCTGTCACAGGCATTTAGAGTGCTGGATACCAAGTTTCCTGGGGCTGCCGTAATAAGTGACCACAAACTGAGGGGCTTAACCCAACAGAAGTGGATTGTCTCACAGTTTTCTAGAGGCCCGAAGTTCAGCATCAGTGTCATGGGACTAAGATCCAGGTGTCAGCAGAGCTGCCCTCCCTCTGGAGGCTCCAGGAAGGACCTTCCCTGTCTCTCCCAGCTCCAGGGGCTGCCAGGAATCTTTGCCATTAATGTGTGGCTTGCGGGTGTGTCACTCCCAGCTCTGCTTCCTGGGAGTGACGTGGCTTTGTGCACGTGGCTTTCTGTGCATGCATCCGTGTGTGTGTGTGTGTGTGTGTGTGTGTGTGCATGTATGTGTGTGTCATCTCCCTCTGCCCAGACACTTGTGACTGGATTTATCGCCCACCCGGATAATCCAGGATAATCTCCCCATGGCAAGATCTTTAACTTAATCACACCTGCTAAGACGCTTTTTTCCTTGCACATTTACAGATTCTAGGGCGTGGGGGCTGGTATCTTTGGGGACCGTTACTCAGGCAGCTACACGAGGGTGCAGAGAGATGCAGAAGACTCTGTGCCCTCACTCGAGGGGCTGTGCCCCACTTACCTGGGACGAGAGGTTGATACAGACAGCTTTGATCTAGAGTGACAGGAGCTGGAACGGTTGGGCTTGTGGGACATGGAGTGGGGAGAGTGTGTGGGCTTCGATCCCGGCCCTGAAGGGCTGGGGTTACGGAAACACACCCCAGAAGTGAGGGTTGATTTGAGTCTCAGAGCGGGGTTCACCTGCAGACCCGGAGGGAAGGGCAGAGGGCCCAGCCTGGAGGTGACGGCGTCCGCACTGCGGTCAGAGCGGCGTCAGTAGCTCTGTGCAGCTCTGTGTGTTCGGTCTAGACTGAGCCAGAGCTGGCCGCGTCCTCACTCTGTACAGAGACTTCTTTCCTCTCGACGGCTCCTTGGGGCCTGGCCTTAGCGTCTTCTCCCGTCGAAGTGTCTTCCCTGGGCTGCTGCCGCACACACCCCAGCGTGGCGAGGCCATGCCGCCCAGCTCAACGTCCCGGAGAGATCCTGCAGGGGTGGGGTCGGGGTGGCACACGGGGACGCCCGCCGTCCACCTCAGGCAGAGCAGTCTCAGGACCCCTCTGGAGCGGGGAGGCCCGCACCCAGCGGGGTCGGGGGTGAGGAAGGGTTCAAGAAGGAGGCAGCGTGGTGTTCCTCAGTAACAGCTTCGTTGAGATGTGATTCACATACCGCACGGTTCACCCGTTTGCCGTGCACGCCTTTGGTGCACTCAGTCATGCAGCCGTCACTGTGAGTAGTTTTAGAACATTTTCACCACCCCAAAAAGAAACCCCATCCCCCTTAGCAGTCACTCCCCCACCCCCATCCCGCCCCCTGCCACCACTCATCCACTTTCTGTCTCTATGTATTTATCTGTTCTGGGCGTTTCATATAAATGGAACCATACAGCGTGTGGCCTTCTAGCTTCGGCTTCTTTCACTTAGCGCAGTGTTCTCAGGGCTCCGCCACGTGGTAGCCTGTCTTCAGTAGCACACCCCACTGTGTGGACGGGACACATTTCGTTCATTTGTCAGTTGATGGACATCGGGCTGTTTCTGCTTTGGTGCTATCGTGAATAATGCTGCTGTGAACATTCGTGTACAGCGTTTTGTGTGGACATGTGTTTTCTCTCTGTTCTTAGGGGTGGAATTCCTGGATCATAGAACTCTGTAATTAATATCTGGAGGGACTGCCAGACTCTCTTCCGCAGCAGCTGCCCTATCTTACATTCCCGCCAGGAGTGCCTGAGTTCCGATGCTCCATGCCCTTGCAGACTCGTGTTGTCTTTTTAATTATAGCCATCCTAGCGGGTGTGACATTGTGTCTCACTGTGGCTTTGATTTGCTTTTCCCTGATGGCTAATGACGTTGAGCATCTTTTCATGTAATTCTTGGTCATTTGGATATATTTTTTGGAAAAACTTGTATTCAGATCCTTTGTACATCTTTTAATCGGGTTATTTGTCTTTTTACTATTGAATTGGAGGAGTTCTTCGTAGGTCCTATATGCAAGTCCATTAGCAGATTGTAATTGACAAATACTTTCTCCCATTGTGTGAATTGTCTTTTGATTTTTTTTTTTTCATGGTGTCATTTGAAGCACGGTTTTTAATTTTGATGAAATCCAACTGATCTACTTGTTATTTTGTTGCTTGTGCTTTTGGTGTCATTTCTAAGAACCATTGCCTAATCCAGGGTCCTGAAGATTGACTTCTGTGTTTTCTTCTAAGAGGTGTATTCACATTCAGGTCTTTGATCCGTCTTGAGTTGTTTTCTGCATATGGAGTGAGGCGGAGGCCCGGCGTCATTCTTTTAGGCACGACTTCATTCTTTTGCTTGTGGATATCCAGTTCAGCTGGCACCATTTATTGGAAAAACTATTATTTCCCCAGCGAATTGTCCTGGCACCCTTGTTAAACATTGGCAGCGTGGTTTTGGAGCCGGCCAGGGCCGGACTCACACCCGGCTTTGCCTTTCACCAGCTGTGTCCCTGGCGATACACTTCCCAGCGTTGAGCCTCAGTGGTATTAATGTCGTCTGTAAAATTAGGGTGCCCAGAGCCGTTCATGAGGTGGTTGGGAGGGTTTTTTCTTCTCCTTCAATTTTATTCTTTTATTCTGTAGAGTACCATTATATAAAATTTACACTTCAGCAAACTGTTAATACACTGGAAACATCACATGACTACTGTGGTTTGCATTTCATTCTAAGTATGTGCCACAGTTCATGTTTTAAAATCACATACTCTTACGTGATTTATTGACTAGCTTTTAATTTTTGTTTACATACCAGCATGCGATTATATGCATTTGTTGAGATGGCGTACAGTAGAACGTTAGCTCTGTTCTTTCAACAAAGTTGGGCGGTGTTTTTAATTTCCCTTTCATGTGGGGTATGTGTGTGGCTGTGTGCATTTGCTTAATTTTTTCCTGCTAATCATTCTAATTGCAGACATTTATTCTCATTGTTGAAAAAAAATTAAAAAATACCAAAAGTGTAAAGAATGTTTTTTTAAAAATCATATAATCCTACCAGCAAGTGCTAACCATATTTATTACTACTTGGGAGCATATCCTGCCTGCCCCGTCACTGTTTTTCCCCTTTGCTTTTAGACAGATGGAAAGATAGGTTTGAGATCAGACTATGTATCCCATTTTATATCTTTCTTTTTTACACACAAATATATAAGTGTTTTATTAGTCATTAAAAATTATTTATAAATCCTTCTACTTATAAAGTTTAAAAAAATTTTAATTGTCTTCCTTAAATTGGAAAAGCAATGGTTACACAGTAAAAAAAATATATTCAATCAGTGCAAAAGAGTGTATGATGATTTATATGATTTGTAAATTCCCCAAACTCTAGATAACATATGGGCTATAAGAAATCTGTATGTACAAATAAGGCTGGGCACAACAGCTCACGCCTGTAATCCCAGCGCTGTGGGAGGCTGAGGCAGGAGGAGCGCTTGAGGCCAGGAGTTTGAGACCAGCCTGAGCAACACAGCCAGACCTTACAAAAAAATTAAAAATTTAGCCCGGTGTGGGGCGCGCCTGTGGTCCCAGCTACTCAGGATGCTGCGGCAGCAGGATTACTTGAGTCCAGGAATTTGAGGCTGCTGTCCTTTTACTGTTGGGCTTTTGGCCTCCGGGCTGGGGCTGTAGCAAAGAGAAACGCAGCAGCCTCCAGCGCTGGAGCCGCTGGGCACAGAGAGCCTGGGCGCCCAGGCCGAGGTGCCCCACTTGGACGACACTCGCGGGCTGACGCCTCCCTGTCCCACAGGCTGAGGATGCGGGCGCGCCCGGCGGCCCCCGACAGCCCCGCGCCGACCGCTGCCCGCCGCCCCCACGGACGCTGCCCCCGGGGGCCTGCCAGGCCGTGCGCTGCCAGGCCGACTCGGAGTGTCCGCGCCACCGCCGCTGCTGCTACAACGGCTGTGCCTACGCCTGCCTGGAGGCCGTGCCGCCCCCGCCAGGTAGGCCCGGGAGGGGCGCCGAGGGTCCACCCAGGTGGCCGGGGGTGGGAGGAGAGCCTGAGTGGGAAGGAAGGAGCCGGGGCTACAGTGGGGTCACCTGTGCGAGCGAGGGTCAGTTCCTCTGTCATGCTCCTGGAGTGGGGCAGGTGGCTGCTCCTCGAGCAAGTGTCCTGGGGGGGACCCCACTGCCACCAAGCGCCTCCATGCCAGGGGACGCCCTTCCAGGGACAGTGCCACCTGGTCTGAGGATGGGGGTGCAGTGAGATTTGTCACTTTAAAAAATCTAGATTTGGGGCCTTTCTTTAAAATATGGGACCACAGTCTCTGGGCCACCATTGGCTGGAGCCTTGGGGGCCCCTGGATGGACAGGGTCCTCTAGTTCCCTACTGGCCCCACCAGGGCTGCCTCACTGACACGCCCAGCCTAGGGGTACATGCCATGGGGACTGGGTGCTTAGCAATCCCCACGGTGGGGGAGGGTGCCCCAGAGAGGCAGGAGTGGGCGCATGGGGAGTAGGGGGCGGGGAGCAAAGTCCTGGGTTCAAACCCCCTGGCCAGCTGTCACTTCCTTTAGTCTCCTCTCCTGCAAAACAGGCCAAAGTGAAAACATGCAGCTCACGGAGGAGTCCGGGCCGGTGGAGGAGCTCGGTGCTCGGTGCTCTGTCGGGTGCGGGCAGGTGTTTGTGGAATCTCGAGGCTGCTCTCCCGGGGAGAGAGGCGGTCCTCAGGGCTCATCTTTGGCAGGGAGGAGTTTCAGATCCCTTTTGGAGAGAAGGTTTTGCAGGGAGAGACAGGAGCCCGTGGGGGACCCAAGTAGGGGTTGGGGTGGACAGGTGGCTGTTTCCTGGGCAGGGAGAATGTGCCCCTAAGCCAGCAGGACTGGGGGCAGCGAGGTTTTCTACTCCCGCAGTTCTACGCAGGGCCAGCCTTTAGATAACAGCAGCCTGTTTGGACTGACCTTCCCTCTGGAGGCTGCGGGTTCCCATGGGCCTTAATTACTGAGGGTGGCTGGTAGAAGGTGTCCCCAACCTCTCCTCCCAAGGCCGAGAGAGTTGGAGAAGGCAAGAGTGACCGCACTTTGTTCTTTGGAGTGAGGTCACAGCGATGACAAGGGACTCAGCACGCTTATTGATGCTCATAATTAGTCTTGCTCATAAAAACAGTCTGGGGCTGATTGAGAACTGCCTCCGGGCAGGGACTGGGCGGGTGCTCAAGGCCAGAGTGCCTCCTATTCTACATCCATAACAAAGACTAAATGGTGCCCCCTCCTGGTAGCACGTAAAGGCTAATCAAGAAATGTGCCTCTTCCTCTGGAACCCTGGCTTAGGGGTTCTAGACTCACCCGCTGCCTAGACCAAGTGCTTTTGAGCAGTGCACAAGCTATACAACTATACCTGGCATTGTCAGTAGCCTTTCCGTACATCATTTCATTCTGTGCTCACACAGCCCCATGGGGTAGACTATTATCAGACCTATGGTACAGCTAAAGACTCTGAAGCTCAGAGAAGTTGAGTCACTTATCCAAAGTCACACAGCAGACAGAGTTGCAATTTCAGTCCGACCATGTTGGAAATGGAGGCTGCAGAGCCTAGCGTCGTTCCGATCTGGGAAATTACGAACGGCGCTTCCTCCCTCTGCTGTCCAACTTCAGCATCGTTATGATCGGCTGGTGCTCTGTTAAAGGAAAAGCTAACCAGCCTTTTTACCAGTCCCCTACCCCCAAAACTAGCATTATCCAACTTTAGAAGGTGCTAGATAATTCATTTTCTATTGTCTTCTTGAAGATAAATGTTATTAACCTTTATTTTTGTCTTATTTGAGAGTCAGACTAAAGCAGGGGTCACAAGCAGATGTGATTCCAGAACTGTTTTATCTCCATAATGCTTAACGTCTTTAAATTTGTTGTCAACACTTAAAAGCCAGAAGATTTATAATTTTAAAAACAAGCAAACAAAAACCAAACACCAGAAGCTCTGGGAGTGACAGCCCAGAGCAGCCAGCAGGTGGCGCATTTAGGCGGGAAGCGCCCCCCCACCCTGCCTACCTGGCCCCTAGGGCATTTGAGTTTTCAACCCCTGCCTTTTGCAGGCCTCCCGTTGTACTGTGTGAGTGGCGCTCACTGTTCAGAATGTATTGGTTAGAGAACAGGCTATGCTGCTGTAACAAAAAGATCCCTAAACACAAGGACCCAACCCAAGAGGCATGCACTTCTCTCTGGGTTAATAGCACCGAGGTAGACGGGTAGTCTGGGGCAGGTAGATGGCTCTGCTCCATAAAGCTGTCTAGGGACCCAGGTTCCTTCCCTCTTGTTGCTCTGTAGTCCGAGTGGTGCCCTGTCCCCGTGGTTGAAGTGGCTGCCAGCCTGCAGGAAAGGGGAAGAGGCTGGGAGGGGAGCAAACAGCCACCCCGTCTCGGGCACGACTGGAAGTTGCATGACCAGTCCCTCTCATGTGCCCCTGGCCAGAACCTGGTCACGCGGCCACACCTAGCTGCAAGGGAGGCCGGGAAGGGCCGTCTCCAGCTTGGTGCCCAGTGCCCAGCCCACACTCACAGCTTCTTTCCTAGAAGGAAGGTGTGCTGGGAACCAGACTCATTTATCCCACAGGGAGCCCATGTGCTGTCATGGAATGGGGGCTCCCCTGTCCCCCAGTGCTGAGGGGGCCGGAGGAGAGCTCGACTCGACCGTGCATTCTGTTAGTTCTAGACTGGCTGGTGCAGCCGAAACCTCGGTGGCTTGGTGGCAACGGCTGGCTCCTGGACGGCCCTGAGGAGGTGTTGCAAGGTACGTACGGGGCGAGGCCAGACCCTACGTTAGAGCTACCACCCTCCTCCTCGACCGCTGCCAGGAAGCCGGCAGCACCAGCCTGCGTGTCCCCCATGCTGTGTGTCCCCCACATGTGGGCCCTTTAGCAGGACACTCAGCCCTCTTCTGTCTGCTCCCCCCAACACAGAGGGGTTGCCGGCTGGGGGCGTGACAAAATCCAAACCCAGAACAGAGCAAGGGTTTTGAGTCTCCCCGGGCATGGGGCCCCTGACTAGGTGGGGAACTGAAAGGGGGGAGCTTGCGGTGGCTTTCAAATCCCTGAGCTTGTGAGGAGGGGCTCGCGGCACCCTAACGTGAGGTCTGCGTGCGGGGTGCGTGGAGCGGGAGAGCAAACACTGAAAGGAACACGTGGCCCGGGACCTAGAGCATTGCGGGGTGTGAGTGTGCACGCTTGCCCGTGTGCAGCGTGCTGCGACTCCAAACCCGTCTGTGCGTGTGGCTGCGACCACAAGGGTGTGCCGCTGTGCAGGCGACTGTGGCTGCTCGTGTGGCCGCGCAAAAAACTTGTGTGTGCCAAGGAGTGCGACTGTGTTGAGTGTGTGTGTGGCTGTATACCTGGGTGGTGTGTACAGGATTTGTGTGTGTAGGTAAACCGGTCTGCATGTGTCTGTGTGTGTTCAGGATTGTGTGTGTAAACGTGTGTGTGCACGTGTGACTGCAGGTGATGTGTGTGTTTCAGGGTGTGTCAGTGAACATGTGTATATATGTGTCACCATGCATGTGAGAGTATATTTGGGATCATGTGACTTTGACTGCCTGTGTATGTGAGTTGTAGGGGTGTGTGTGTTTGGGGGGTGTGCACGCACAAGCCTGGGTGAGACCCAAGCTGCAGACTGGAATCTGGTGCGGAGGGGAGGCGGCCTCTCCGGGCAAGGTGCAGTCCCTGCACCGTCCCCGGGCTCTGCCCTCTGAGACCCTGGCGTGTGTCCCTCCCCGCAGCAGAGCATGCAGCACCACCCGAGGATGGGCAGAGCCGCTGCTTGTTCCTCGGGCTATGAGTGCCACATCCTGAGCCCCGGGACGTGGCCGAGGGCATCCCCAACGCGGGCAGTGCGTCAAGCAGCTCCGGCCAGCAGGAGTGTGGGCACCCAGTCCCAGCTCCTGGACCCTGCCCCAGGGGGAGCCACCAAGCCCAGCCTGGCCAAGAGCTGGTCCTGTCTCCTACCACACAGCTGGCTCCTCTCTTCGAGGTCCTCCTAGCCCTTTCCCCGTACTGCCCTATGTGACTCACCACTCTGCAACCTCCTGTTATGTGGGTGAACCTTGGTGTCAATTTCTTCTCTATTCTGAGCCTGTTCTCTCTGTAAAATAGCCTTTTACTTCATTCTGAAGTGGATTAATTGAAATCGCCGTGCAAGCCTTCATGCCGGTTAGGTCAGAAACTCTGGTATGTTTATATCTCGCACATCTCTAGATGTAACAACGTGTTCTGCGAGTGCAGAAGCGCTGTGCGTTCAGTAGAAACCGTAATTCTGATACCCACGCAAACAATTCACTATTTTACATTCCCAGATACCAGTATCTCAGTAAATGTGCATGACGCTACTCACACTTCATGTAAAACAAGCTTTTGTTTAGAATTTTGTGCCCAAACACAGATAAGTCAGATGTCTAGAGCACACTTAAAGGTAGGTGGCCAGCTATCAAGGCTAAGGGTGTGCTTAGGTGTCTAATATCATTGACTTTAACGATAATATTCAGATATTAATATATTTCAGTGTCGTAACCTAACAGTCAATCAATGGCAATACGGTGTGTTTAAGCTCAGGAGACATTTGAGATTTGCCTGAGAAACTTCCCAGGCCTTCTCAGTCGTGTTCTGTTTGACTTCAATGTGAGTGTTCATCTAGAGGCAATAATAAAATCAGTTAGGCACTGCTTCGTGCTGCATAGTTTGTCCCGGATGATTGAGGTACTGCGATCGTCTTAAGTCACTTTTTTGTGTGTGGAATCCGTAATCCTCGTCTCCACAGCCCAGTGCAAGGCTGGAGAGTTACTGTAGCCTGAAGTTAATGGGAATATTGTGTGGCACCTCTCGAATCCGGACCTTCTAGGTGCTCTTATTCCCAAGTCACAGACGAGCTCCATTCAACAACTGAGAACCACCACTCACAGCCCTCAATGTTCCGCATTTTCTGTAACTCTCTTGCCTGGATGCTAGTCAAGACCTCTGCAAGAGTGTACGGACATACCTCTGAGTGCGCCTTTTGTTAAAGTGTACCTAGACGGTGCATGATCTGCCCAAAGCTCGTTCCTTTCTGATTTGAGGAATTTTATTCTTACTGCTATAGAAATGGGCACAGACGTAAAATCTAGCTTTACAACATATATTCACATCATTATCATTGCATAATTACAACAATGAGATGTTAACATAACTAGATCTGTATCTCTGAACTCTCAAAAAATGCCTCTTAATACTGGGATATAAACCCAAAGATATCTTTTATGATTTTTCTCTTACAAATTGCTATTCCAGGGCCACAGTTGGGGTTTACAAGGGTGCTTCCCAGCCAGATCAACTGGTGCTACGTGGCCACTCTGGAGAGCCCCATTTCACTGCGTGTGGACATTACCTAACCTCTCGTCCTCATTGGCTGACCTAGTATATATGAGCTACTTGCATACTCTTAAGGGTAAACGTAGTTAATCCGCCGTCCAATTTCTGTTTCACACGCACAGACAAGAGTTCGTTAATTTAACTCCAATTGCTTTCATGTCTAGAGCCAAACACCACCGTAGGTTGAGATTGTACGGGCTCAATTTAAGTCGAAGAAAACCCTGAGGTCTGCCAGCCTGTCGGAACCCTGCTTAATAGAGGATTGCTCCTTCTATCCAAAAGAGAGCTGCAGGGGTGAAGTTAGGTGTCTTATAGCCGACGTACACTTGGTCATTCCCATCACTTGGAGCGGCATATACCAGCCATCTATCTGGACCCTTCCTACACAGGTGGGGGGAAGGGCTTTTTTTGTTTTCCCCCTCTCACGTCGACTTCTTAGCGCAATGAGATCCTGCAGGGTAAGCTGTAGCTTCTAAAGATCTGAGGTCGAACCAGTAACAGGAATAGAACCTCCGTTTCGGCTGGGTATGTCTAAGGCACAATAGCATGAACACTAAAGAGTCTGCATCCAATTGCCGATTAGAGACATAGTCATGTACGCGCTCTCTTAGAGGTGTTGCAGTGCGCCCCAGGGAAGAGAGTAGGGCCTGGTGTATATGGGCGCGGTCCGCTTTGGCTATCAGTCGCTGCAGGTCAGGAAATCAGAGACATGGCTACGGGCCCCTTGCTGCCTGCCTGGCCTTTGGATTTCCGGTCCACCTCACCTTCTTAGCCTCAGTCTCTTCTATTCTGGTAATGAAAATGGGTGATGGTGAAGGGGTAATACCATGTAAATCTTCTTGGGTGTTATACGAGGCTTCCTTATTAAAGTGCTCAGATAATAGCATCTGATCATCAGTAGGTCTACAATCGCGGTGTGCCCGCTCTCTCCCTTGTCCTCCGGGAAGATGACTCGTACCTTTTTGGGACGTGTATATCTTCAGGTTTGCCACAACAATCACAGTGGCTTAATTGGAGCAGAAGCTTAATCCAAGCCTATCCCCGACTTCAGTAGCCGTGTTGCAATGTGTGTGATTCTTCACTAAAATGCCATGAAGCTTCACAAGTGAGCCTGATAATATAGTCCCACCCGTAGTCAGACCTTCAGAGGCTTCGCTCTAGAATCTGAATGATGTAACTCATTCAGGTTAAAGAACAACAGGCTTGGAAACTTGAATTATATTGAGCATCCTTCCACTCGGAGCAAAAATCCCAGGGATGGTCCCTCTGCATCTCATCGCTGACCAATGAAGAAGCCTTGTGATAGGTTAATTTTTTTAACTGCATATATTGAAATACTTTCAAATCTTTAACAGGAGTATTGACCGAATTTTCTTTGGACCATACAATATCAGTTTCACTAATTTTAAAAGTTATTGTCCATTTTCTCTTATTATACTCCTCCTCCCTCCGTTCTCTCCCCTCGTTTTAATCTGGCATTGTGTAATTTCCTTCGTACCAATTCTTGTAGGATAAGTCTCGGCAACTCTACGCCCTAGATCTAAGAACGCAATTGTCGTCCATTACCAGATGAGAGGCTGAGAGGCACATAACGGCAATGTCTGACTGGGTCGGCGGACTATTACGATTCAATGGTCGTTGGGTTCATTGTCTTTGCTAAGTATAGAAATGAAGGTTGATGAACTCAGGAAATACTGGCTTTTCAGACATGCTGGTTGGAGGAAACAGGTAGTTTTTGAGTGTTTCAAGATCCACATCATCTGCGTCTCGTGTGAGACTCGGCTCTCCATCACTGGCCCTGTTTTAGTCTCCCATGAAAGAAATAAATAATGAGGGCTTTAGGCTCAGCCTGACGCTGAGAAGAGAATAATATGTCTGAGAAAGAACATGATAATACTCATTGTAATTAAAGTTTATAGGTTTGGTCACTAGAGGGGGTGTATCCAACCTGCCCGTGTCCTTGGTAATCTATAATGGGTCCATATTTCTTCCCTAGGGTAGAGGGGGTTATTCCACAACTTCACATAGTCTCAGGATAAGGTCCGTCGTTACGACGTGTGAAGAATGGAGTGGAAAACACAAATTATTCCTTAGTGTTGTGAAGACAAATGGGGTTTTTTGTTTTGGGGCCTTTTAAACTCTGAGAAGAAAGTTCTTTCTGTCTTCCTATGTATGTGCGGTATACCTGGATACAAGGTTTTACAAAGAATTATCAGGTTCAAACTTGAAAACCGGTCTTCTTTAGAAGTGCACATAAGAGGTACAATAACCATTTAATGGTGAATAAGAAAAGATGAGGGCTGAGATGCTGTGGACATATAAGGTGCACCATGATCTTGGGCAATTAAAGCAGAAGCCTGCTTATGATGTGCAGGCGGGTCTCCCGGGCTGCAACGGTTGATCCTGATAGATACAACGAAACTACCATACTTGTAGCGTTGCCTTGGGCCTCCTGCTTGCTTCGGACTGCAAGAAATTGGTAGTGGAAGACATCTCTTCTATATCGTCTCCAATATCCAACCTAATTTTTCATCTTCATCCATCTTCACCCAATACCACTCATAGCCTCCATCTCTACCTTTTCATAACCCACTGTCCAATCAATCCCATCATATCCACTCACCATCCCACCCATCATCTGTCACACCACCCATGCCATCATCACCCACCCATTCACCAATTTCCATCTATCCATCTGTTCTTCTCCACCCTACATCATCCATCACATTCCATTTAATCTCTATCCACTCTACATACATATCTATCAAATTCTCTAATCATTCATTGATTCTCACACCATCTATCCCATCCACACACATCCCACTCCTCACTCATCTATCTACCCACTCCATACGCCTCCTCTATCCATTCGACCTCTCCTTCCATCACACCTACTCTCACCATTCCAGACAATCATCCACTCCGCTCTTCTCATCCATCCATCAATCTCATATCCATTTATCTCATTTCCACTCCGATCTCCATTAATACCTAAATCTCGTAAAGTTTTCGTGTTTTCCCTCAACACTTGCGTCTCTGAACAGTGAATTCTAGACTACTTCATTATAAAGCAAGCGTTTGGAACATCTTCAGTCACTGATCTATGTAGACATTTGTTGAGAAGAGTCATGGTCGTCGCGACTGAGGCCAGACCCTACGTTAGAGCTACCACCCTCCTCCTCGACCGCTGCCAGGAAGCCGGCAGCACCAGCCTGCGTGTCCCCCATGCTGTGTGTCCCCCACATGTGGGCCCTTTAGCCGGACACTCAGCCCCCTTCTGTCTGCTCCCCCCAACACAGAGGGGTTGCTGGCTGGGGGCGTGACAAAATCCAAACCCAGAACAGAGCAAGGGTTTTGAGTCTCCCCGGGCATGGGGCCCCCTGACTAGGTGGGGAACTGAAAGGGGGGAGCTTGCGGTGGCTTTCAAATCCCTGAGCTTGTGAGGAGGGGCTCGCGGCCCCCTAACGTGAGGTCTGCGTGCGGGGTGCGTGGAGCGGGAGAGCAAACACTGAAAGGAACACGTGGCCCGGGACCTAGAGAGTTGCGGGGTGTGAGTGTGCACACTTGCCCGTGTGCAGCGTGCTGCGACTCCGCACCCGTCTGTGCGTGTGGCTGCGACCACGAAGGTGTGCCGCTGTGCAGGCGACTGTGGCTGCTCGTGTGGCCGTGCAAAAAACTTGTGTGTGCAAAGGAGTGCGACTGTGTTGAGTGTGTGTGTGGCTGTATACCTGGGTGGTGTGTACAGGATTTGTGTGTGTAGGTAAACCGGTCTGCATGTGTCTGTGTGTGTGTGTCAGGATTTGTGTGTGTAAACGTGTGTGTGCACGTGTGACTGCAGGTGTGAATGTGTGTGTTTCAGGGTGTGTCAGTGAACATGTGTATATATGTGTCACCATGCATGTGAGAGTATATTTGGGATCATGTGACTTTGGACTGCCTGTGTATGTGAGTTTGTAGGGGTGTGTGTGTTTGGGGGTGTGTGCACGCACAAGCTGCTGGGTGAGACCCAAGCTGCAGACTGGAATCTGGGTGCAGAGGGGAGGCGGCCTCTCGGGGCAAGGTGCAGTCCCTGCACCGTCCCCGGGCTCTGCCCTCTGAGACCCTGGCGTGTGTCCCTCCCGCAGCAGAGGCGTGCAGCACCACTGAGGATGGGGCAGAGCCGCTGCTGTGTCCCTCGGGCTATGAGTGCCACATCCTGAGCCCCGGCGACGTGGCCGAGGGCATCCCCAACCGCGGGCAGTGCGTCAAGCAGCGCCGGCCAGCAGGTGAGTGTGGGCACCCCAGTCCCAGCTCCTGGCCCCTGCCCCAGGGGACAGCCACCAAGCCCAGCCTGGCCAAGAGCTGGTCCTGTCTTCCCACCACCCAGCTGGCTCCTCCTTCGAGTCCTCTGCCCTTTCCCCGTCATGCCCGTATGTGACTCTCCCAGCTCTGCACCTCCTGGCTGGGTGACCTTGGGGTCAATTTCTTCTTATTTCTGAGCCTCTGTTTCCTCCTCTGTAAAATAGGCCTACTTCATGCTTAAGTGGGGATTAATTGAAATCGCACGTGCAGAGCCAGTCAGTAGCGGGTGGTCAGTAAACACTGGGTATTTTATATCCAGCCACACTCAGACGTAACAACTGTTCGATGCCGGTGCAAAGGCGCTGTGCGTTCAGTAGAAACCGTATTCTGAGCACCCTCACAACCATTCTGCTTTTCACCTTCCGTACAGTATTCGGTAAATTGCATGAGCTACTCACCACTTCATTGTAAAACAAGCTTTGTGTTAGATGGTTTTGCCAAACTCCAGGTTAATGTCAGTGTTCTGAGCACACTTAAGGGAGGTGAGGCCAGCATCCAGGCAAGGGTGTTGGCAGGTTGGGTGTCTTTAATGCATCTTTGACTTACGATATTTTCAACTTAATAAGAGTTCATCGGGCATAACCCCACCGTAAGCCAAGGAGCATCGGTGTCTGTTTTAAGCTGCACGGCATTTGCATTTTGCCTGAGAAACTTCCCAGGCCTTCTGCCAGGACTGTTCTGTTTGACTTAATGAGTGTTCATCTGTAGCGTCAGAGGCAATAAGTAAATCAGTGCATTGCACTGCTTCGGTCTGCATAGTTTTCCCAGGAAGGAGAGGACGGCAGAGCAAGGACACCTAGTGGTGGAATCCGAAACCGTCTCCAGCCCAGTGCAAGGCATAAGGTGGAGAGACTGTAGCCTGAGTTTAAGGGAAATGTGTGGCACACCTCGAATCCGGACCTTCAGGTGCTCTAAGTTCGCCACGTCACAGACGAGCTCAATCGAACTGAGACCACCCACCCACATCCCATGTCCGCATTTCTGAATCTCTTGTCCCTGACAGCTAAGGTCAAGACCCTCTGTCAAGAGTGACGACAACCTCTGAGGTGCCGTTTGTCGAAAGAGTACCTAGAGGTGCATGATCTGCCAAAGCTGTTCCTTTTCTGATTTGAGAATTTATTTCTCTGCAGTGTTTCAAGAAGGGCACAGACGTAAAATCAGTTACCCTTTTCACATCATTATCATTGCAAATACAATCATGAGATGTTAGAACTGTCTGGAGAATCCTGAACTTTTCAAAAATTGCCCGTAAAGGGATATAAACCCAACAGATATCTTTATGATTTCCTCTACATTCCACTTGCTATTCCCAGGGCACAGTTTGGGGTTACAGGGTGGCTTCTCCAGCCAGATAACTGGGCTCCCGTGGCCACCTGGCCCCTTTCACCTGCGTGTGGCACATAACCTAACCCTCTCGTGCCTCATGGGCTGACAGTAATTGAGCTACTTGCAGGACTCTGCAAGGGGGAAACGAGTTAGTCTGCGTAGACCATGTCTGTCATTTCACAAGCACAGGACAGAATTTCTGCTATTTTATCGCTGCTTCTGTCTAGACACCCAAACACACCGTAGGTGGATGGGGTACGGGGCCATTTGGGGACGAGAAACCCTGAGGGCTGGCCAGCCTGTCGGAACCTGCTGGAATGGGGAAGGGACAGCCTTTTCCAAAAGAGAGCTGCGGGGTGAGTTAGGAGTCCTTTGCGCTACACTGTCATTTCCATCATTGGAGCGGCTTCCAGCCACTCTGCCTTTCCTCGTCCCCGGATCTTTACGCAGAGACCAGGCAGGGTAAGCCGCGTAGCTTCAAGCCAGGTCTTGAGGGTCTGAACCAGTTCAGGAAAGACCCGTTTCCTGGATGGCGCTAGGCACAGAGAGCAGATCACTAAAGGATGACTGCGCCGATGGTGCCGACCTTGGGCTAGCACGTCGTACGCGCTCTCTGTGAGCGTGATTGCAGGCCCCCAGGGAGAGGTAGGGCCGGGGCGGTGCCGCTTGGGCTCAGTCGTGCAGGTCAGAACCACAGAGACAGGCTCCGGGCCCGCGCTTGCTTCCTGCTGGCCTTGGACCGGTCACCTCACCTTTCTTAGCCTCAGTCTCTTCATCTGTAAAATGGGGATGGTGAAGGTAACCATAGTAACTGTTTCCTGGGGGTAGTTACGAGGCTTCCTATGAAGTGCTCAGAATAGCGTCTGATGCACAGTAGGTCCTCAGCGGGTGTGTGCCACTGTCCTCCCTGTCTCGGGAAGAGGGGACGTGAGTTCGGGGTCTTGCCCACACAATGCACGTGGCTTAAAGGGGAGCAGAGCTGGAATTCCAAGCCTGTCCCCCGACTTCAGAGCCGTGTGCAATGTGTGTGTGAGCTTCCCCTCCACGGGAATGACCAGAGCCTTCCAAGTGAGCTGTAAGTGGAATCCCACCCAGTCCAGACCTCAGAGGGCTGTCGCTTAGCAATAATTGTTGGTAATTCATTGGTAATGATCCACAGGCTTGGAAACGTCTTGAATTCTAGCACCTTCCCTCGGAGCAAAAATCCCAGGGGAGAAGTGGCCGCTCTCATCCCAGCCTGACCAAGGAAGAAGCCTTTTATCGAAGTTTTATTTTTTTAACTGCATTTTTGAAATACTTTCAAACTTACAGAAAGTTGACAGAATAGTTTCTTGGACCCTCTATGCAGATTCACCAATTGTTAAAATATTGTCCCATTTTCTTTATTATTCTCCCCCCCTCCCCCCGTTTAAATCTGCGTGTGTAATTTTCTGGACCATCTGAGGATAAGTCTCGGCCCTCACGCCCAGACCTAAGACGCAGGTCTCCCCCGAGAGAGGCTCTGGAGGGCGCCGACGGCCAAGTCTGACTGTCTGGCGGCTGCAAACAGATGGCCGAGGGGTTCGTGTGTTTTCTGCAAGAAGAAAATGAAGGTTGATGCACGCAGGAAATCTGGCTTTTCAGACAGTGGGGTTGGAGGGAATCAGTGTGTTTTTTGAGTGTGTTCGAGACCACACAGAAGCTGAGACGTGGGAGACCGGCCCACCCTGCCCTGGCCGGGAGGCTGCCCAGGAAGAAAAATGTGGGGCTTAGGCAGCCTTGAGCAGGAGGAAATTTGTCTGATGAAAGCAACATGTAATCACTCTTGGTAATAAATTATATTTGGCCTGAGGAGGGTGTCCACACCTGCCCGGGCCTCCTTGTGGCATTATGGGCCATAGTTCATCCCTGGGGAGGGGGCTATCACACTTCACATAGTCTCTGGAAAGGTCCATCGTAGACTTGTGAAAGAATGGGAGTGGAAAACACAAATAATTCCTTAGTGTTATTGTGAAGACAGTTTTGGCCTTATAAACTCCTGAGAGAAGTTCTTCCTTGTTTTCCAGATGGGCGGATCCTGAGACACAGGTTTTACAAAGAATATCCAGGTACAACATGAAACCGTCTTTCTTTGCAGAGAGCACAAAAGAGGACAATGAACATTTCTTGGGTGAAGAAGAAAAATGAAAGTGCAGGGCTGAGATGCAGGGGACAAAAGGGGCACCAGGACTGGGCAGTAAAGCAGAAGCCTGCTGATGGCGGGCGGGGCAGGCCCAGGGCAAGCACGGCTGCCTGCTGGACACCGGAACTACCACTGTGTGTGCTTGGGCCTCCTGCTTGCCTTCGGGGACTGCAAAACGTGGCTGATCCCATTCTTCCACCATCTCTCTAATCATCCATCCACCTAATTTTTCATCCATCCATCTGTCCACCCACCCACTCATCATCCATCCATCTACCTATTCATCCACCCACTGTCAATTCAACCACGCACCCATCCACTCACCATCCCACCCACTCATCTGTCTACCCACCCACCCATCCACTCACCATCCCACCCACTCATCTGTCTACCCACCCACCCATCCACTCATCCACCCACCCATCCACCTAATTTTCCATCTATCCATCTGTCTACCCACCCATCATCCATCCATCCATCTATTAACCCACCCATCTACTCATCCATCTACCAATTCTCTCATCCATCCATCCACCCACCATCTACCCATCCACTCACCATCCCACCCACTCATCTATCTACCCATCCACCCACCCTCCCACCTACCCATTCACCTCTCCATCCATCCATCCACCTACCCACCCATCCGCTCATCCACCCACCATCCATCCACACACCGATCCATTATCCATCCACCCACCCCTCCATCCATTCTTTATCCATCCAACACGTCTCTGTCAAGAATTGCAGCACCTGTTTACCAAGCAGTACTCGTCACTCTGTGCTGGAGGTCGGGCTGCATTGGCGAATGTGACAGCCCCAGTCCCTGCTGTCTTGTAACTAACATCAAGCAGGAAATTTAAACATGAATAAAGCCCAATTGGTTATTTCGTGATAGTGACAAGGCCTGCTGACATCACATACCGGCTACTATGAGGACACTCCAGACCAGCTTGTCAGGAACGGCTCCCGCAGGGGGGACGTGAAGGCTCAGCCTGAAGACTGAGCAGTGGCGGGCAGCAGAGTGTGGACGTGACACTCCTGATGTTGGGAGCAACTCGGCTGTCCCAGTAGCTGGGGTGTGTCCTGAGCCAGGGAGGGCGACGGGAGTGGGGGCCAGAAATGTAGGCAGGGCTGGCGACACCAGCTCGGGGGCTCTGGGGAGGAAGGGGACTTGCTGCAGGTGGCGACTGAGTGGCCTCTTCTGGGGGAGGGGAGGAAAGGGCCAGGCCCCCAGGCCCGGCCGAGGCATCTGGACTCAATCTGGCAGGCCATAGTGAGCATGGGTGGCGTTTGGGCAGGAATAGACACACCTGCCCTGACCGAGCAGTGGTCTTTTTGCAGAGGGTGACTCAAAGAATGTGGCAGAACCTGGAAGGGGACAGCAGAGGCACTTCCAATAAAGCAGCGACAGGCAGGTAGGTGGAGGCGCGTATGAGTGGGTGGATGGGCACGCAGCGCAAGCAGCCGTCCTGGGCGGCTTTCATACCACGTTGGCCAGCGGGAGGGTGAGGGCAGGCTCCCCTGCCCGTAGGACTGTTCAGTCCCCTATGCGATACGTCCTTGCTTAGCATGTCCGTAGGTTCTTGGAAACTGTGACTTTAAGCAGAACAGCCGTACTGTATCAAAAAGCCAATTTTACCCCAGGCTAACTGGCATGAACAAGAGTTAAATTTGCCTAAAGTCACAGTTTCCAAGAACCTTTCCAGAGGCTAAGTGAGGACTTAGCGTCATTCTGTCATTGCAAACAGAACCTACACACGGAACCTTGTGTGTGCCCAGAGGCAGAAGTGTCTCTGTACCCTCGGGACCTAAACCCAAGAGTAGACGAGGTGGAAACTTTCCGTTCTTTTGCCTTGAAGTCCCTGGTGCCCCCTGACACCTTGTGTGTCTGTCCCCACCTCTGTCACACAGCTGTGTGTGGGGCCCACTGTCTGATAGGCGTGGCGCCAGCTACCCGGTTGCTCTGCAGTCGTCCGTGGGTGTTTGTTGTGAGCCAGGTGTTGTTCTGGGGGAGCCAGATGGAGGCCCCGGGGTGGGGACAGGAGGTGGCCGGGAGGCTGGCTCCAGAGAAGGCTCCCAGGTGAGGCTGTGGCTCTGCCCTCAGGTGCCCCCAGAGGCCAGACACAGGTGCCTGCAAAGGGTGGTGGGGTCGCAGCAACCCGAGGGTCTCAGCCCCTAAACCTGGAAGAAACCCCACCAGCCCCAGGCCCTTAGAAGCAAGAGATTCCCCCCACCCACCCCATCGTGTCGGTGAAAGGCAAATGTCGGGCTTCAGGTCCCAGAATATCCAGGGATGAGTCCCCCAGGGAAATCTGGAGCCAGTGAAGACTGATGCCAGCATGTCTATTGCCTGCTGATGACAGGACCCGTCCCTGGACTGTGACCGTCTAACAGGGCTGGGCGGGGCCCCGGGGGACGAGGAGACCTTCAGAGGCAGCCTGGCGTGAGGCCAGACTGGCTGGGTTTAAATTCTCACACACCACTGTGTGACCTTGAGCAGGTGACTTCCGCCCTCCAAGCCTCAGTTTCCTCATCTGTAAAATGGTAGTGCTGGGGAGGAGTGCATCAGGAACCAAGTACGATGACACCCCGTAAAGACTTGGCAGCGAGTTAAGAATTTAATCTTAGCGGAAACCGGCCTCTTTCTGGTGTTTAGGGGAAGGAGGATTGTAGAATTCTGCCCCCAGGCTCTGCCCCTGTGGCAACCCCTGTTCATTCCTTCTTTCCTTCCCTTTCAGCAGGTTTTCAGGGCCACTCCTCCACTTTCTGCTAAGCTTGGGAAACAGTCGGCGAAACAGCCTGGCGCCCAGGGTCTACGTTCGGCCCAGAGACAAGACACTGTCCCAATCCCACGGGCCCTCCCTGGCTGCTGACTCTGCGGGAGCCACTTCACACCGCTGGGCCCCTGTTCTACCGTCCTGCACAAAAGGCCCTGCAGCTCCTCGAGATCTTTCACCAAAAAAAGAAGCTGCTGCCTGAGTGAGCAGGTTTGAAGCCCCTGTCTAAGACAGTTCCGCATCGGATATTTTGTGTGGGTTCCCCCCGAGTCTGGCTTTGAGAGGCGGGCACCCACCCCCAACGTTCTCAGAATAGCCTTGGCCATGGGGACATGGAAATGAACTTGCCAGTGCCTGATTCACAGCGTTAGCCACCCGAGGATCTCAAGTAGGATGTGCCCAAGCCCCAGTGTTAGCAGAAGGTGGGAGGCGGTTATAGAACAATAAAAACTATGAAAGGAGACGTTCAGTTCCTGGCGTCTTGTAACACTCTGTCACTGTTTAATCTGGGTGGAAGGAGGTGTCAGCTCAGCTCTGCTTCTGTAACCAGGAGCGCCCGGGCCATGCGGCCGAGTCAGGGAAGATCCCTCCGAGGCAGACTCCGGGAGGGAGATTTGCTGAGAGCCGTGACCAGGGAGGTTCCTGGATAAAAGCAGCTGGGGAGTGGGGAGGTGGGACAGGAGGAGAAGCCATCAGACAAGGGTGGGGTGGCAGGGGCCACGAGGGTGCCTTTGGTGCATGCCCTCTGGGGTCCGAGAGGCAGCCCAGGTCCCACCCGGGCCAGCGAGGGAGCCGCAGTGTTTAGTGCAGCCAGCACCATTGGGGGGGCAAGGGCTGCCCCTTTTGGGGGCGGGCTGTCAACTCCAGGGGGACATAAGGGGGTGTGGGCGGAGCCCTGAGGGCATCCCTCACACAGTCCAGATGGCGACAGGGTCTGGAACGTGCACACACAGACATGCACCCGTCTCCATGGGCTGGGGTGGGGGATGATTAAACTCAACCAATAACCTTCTGCTCAAAACAGCCCTGTGGCGATAGGTACCGATCGTTTGACGGGACTCAGCCTTTTTAATTCCAAAACGGGCTTGTGCAGAGGCAACACCTGAGTACCCACATTTCAACACCCCACCCCATGCACCGCCCACCCACCCACCGGAGCACTCGAGCTTTCTCCCCGTAAAATCCACGTTGTCTTGGAAAACACCCAGGTCAGGATTAAGGTGCAGACTGACGGCTGAGAGCCCCCTTTCATCATTTCTGAGCAGGGGCGCATTTGTGCTACTCAAGAATCATTTTCTTCATGATTTGGAGGTCTGGGTATTGGGAGCAACATGAGAAAAAAATAGCTGCGTGACTCATGTGAAAGTCACATGCAGAGGGTGTTCATCACACCGTCTGGTGGTGGTGACCTCCACCGTGATGGGGAGAGAGACAAGAGACGACTCTGCCTGAGAACAGTGAGTTCCGAGGGAGACAGACACGGTTCCGCCTTGGACGGCGCGGTCTGCGCGGGTTCCAGGCGGGAGTCCTGCTGCGGGACGCATGCACGTGAGCTCCATGGGCAAGCGCGGGTCGCAGCCAGGGTCACTCTGAAACCACCCCGCCCCAGATGGACGGCCACCGCACTGGCCTGGAGTTGGCCGGAGCTCCTGGGAGTTCCTCGGGGCTGAGGACAGAGGGTCTAGAGGACTGGCCACACCCACGGCCACACACGGTGGAAGCAGACTCGGGTGGGCCTGGCAACTTCTGTGCATCTCCCCGACGAGGAAACCGAGGGTCTCAGAGTTCTTAGAGGACTCGCCCAAAGTCGTGGAGCCAGCGAGAGCCCCACTCGTCCGGCCTGTCGGAGCGGAGGGCACCCCGCTGCTGCAGTCCGCAGAGGGCTCCGGGGTCAAGGGCTGCCCCAGCCCTGCTTCCTGGGGGCTGCCCCTTAGCTGGGCTGGAGAGGAGGCTGGAGACGACAGGTCCACCTGGTTCCAGTCCTGGGCAGGTATGCGCCCAGCCTCTGGAAGTGAGCACAGGAAGAGGAGCTGCCTTTCCGAGTTGCTGGGCCGGTGGGGGATGAGCGTGAGATGCCACATAGTAAGTGCTCATTAAACAGGCATGGTTATACTTTCTTGTTATTAGCCTGGCACAGTACACGCTAATTCCCTTAATCCTCACAAAACCTGATAGATTGGGCATGAACATCTACGTTGTCCAGCTGTGGGAAATTCAGCCTCAGAGAGGCCAAGCAAGTTGCCCAGGATCACCCAGAGAGCACATGGTAGAGCTGAGGTTTGAGCCCAGGGCGGCTGACACCTGTCTAGATGGGCTTGACCTGCTCCGTGCCCCTCGGCAAGTTATGGAACATGCCTGAGCCTTGGGGGCCACATTTCTAACACGTGAACAGGAACTCCAACCTCACAGGGTTCTTGTGAACTTAATCAAGATCGTTTGGAATGTGAGGGAATTGTCACTTGATAAGACACAAATGCCAGCATGGGAAGTGGTCAGCACTGCCACAGGGTGGAGACTCCGGAGGAAAGGAAGACCTGCTTTCTGCCCTGGGGAGCCTGCAGTCTTTGAGGGAGTCAGAGGCACAACCTGGGGGAAGGTCTCGTGTTGGGGACACACCTGGGAGGAGGGGCCAGGAGCGCCGAAGGAGCCTGGAGAGGGAGGCCAAGCCCAGTTGGGGGCAGAGAGAGGGACAGTCAGGGGAGGCTTCCTGGAGGTGGTGACATGGGAATGTGGTCATAATGTCTGAACATTAATGTCCCAGGAACATTTGCATCTCAAAGGGAGCGACCGCTCTCCCTGTTTGGTTTAAGCCGGAGTGTCTCCACCTAGGCACTAATGACGTCGAGGGCAGGATCCTTCTGTGTGGCGGGGCCTGTCCTGTGCACGGTAGGGTGCTGAGCAGCAGCCCTGGCCTCTACCCCTAGGTGCCAGTAGCACCCTCCCCCCAAGTTGTGACAACCACAGATGTGACCTTGCCAAAGTCCCCTGGGGCACCATTGTCCGGTGAGAACTTCTGGTGGAAGCCCAGAGAATCTCCACTTTGTATTATTTCATGAAACAGCGAGTCCCCGGAGCAGTCTCGCTGGGGCTCAGGGTCATTAACTCTCCCACTCACCTGTCACTCACGCCGCATCCTCCCGGGCAGTGTTCTCCAGAGCCAACCACCTTTTCTCGTCAAATCCCAGATGCCAGGGTTTTTTTGTCCTTCGACATTCCTGAAGTCAGGCGTGTCGCGGCCGCTGTCTGCCAGGCCCCAGGCATGACGGCGGCTTTGCTGCTGTACCCATGCATGTCCCAACATGCAGGTCGGCTGTCGGCAGCTTGGCGGAAACTTGCAGAAACAACAGAGGGACCGGTCTTTTTGGAAATTCTGCGTCACCAGCGCTCCCAGGAAGACGTTCTGGGAAACATCTTATCTCATTTGTCACACTTGTGTTTTTTCTTTGAGGCATGCACAAGAATGATACATGAAAAAAAAATCAATGCCTACATAAGTCTAAAAGAGGTCTTTAAGTTCGAAATAAAAAGATGAAAGCGTTACATCAGCCTAGTTGGCAGTGCTTTTTCTTCTGATCGGACATCGACTTACACCTGAGTCATGGTCTGTGCCACCTGTCACTGTTCCCGGCTCAGACACCAAGGGGGATGACGCCCTGGAAACAGACCCTGCCTGCGCAGGGTCCACTGTCGAGTGGGGAAGGTATGTGGGGGCAGGGACTTGACCCTCGGCCCGCCGATTCCCGGGGAGCTCGAGAGGCTCCGCCCTCTCCTGTCCTTGCATTTGGGGGCAGACACGGATGGATGGCTGATTGCGGCCAGGTGATGCGTGCCTCACCTGTCTGGGATACACCTGTATTTCTTGGCTTTGAACCTAGAGCGGTTTCCCTTCTGAGCTGTCACAGCCCTCCCTTGGACCCGACCGGCTAGGAAACTGGCAACAGTGCCTCTCCTCAGCGCTGAAATCTGAGCAGACGCTGCCCGGGGAAAACGGAGAGCTCTGGGCCGCCGCTGAGCCCCCACGGCAGCCCTGCTGCTGGTCCTCAGCTGTGCATCCCCACGGCTGCAAAGAGCTTGGCTTCTCTGAGCCCCAGTTTCCGCTGCTTGGAAACAGGGCTAGCACCTGCCGTGCCTTCCGCAGGACCAGAGGGGACGAGGGCATGAAAATGGCCCTGATCTCTGCATGGGTGCCGTGAGCGCCTGGCGGCTCCCCGCCCTCGCGGTCAGGACGGTGGAAACAGCGCTCTCCTCCCACTTCCGCCTGTTGTGGAATTAAGTCAAATCCTGACAGTGGGCCTTGCGGCCTAGGGCCTGGCACTCAGAAAATGCGGCCAAACGTAGTCCTGATCTGCTGTTGAGTGAACAGAGGACATGGGGCTTGGGGCCGGTGGGGAAGCCGCCTTTTACACGGGCAGCAGGAGGAAGAACAAGGAAAGAGACAGAGACAGAAGCCACCCTCTGGGTTTTCTTTGGCTTCCCAGCCACCTTGATGGTTTTCTAGGACTTTCTTCCAATTGATAAGAGACATGGCTGCCCTCCTGTACTACCAGGTTCAAGGCAAGGACTCTGTCACCCCTGGTAGCCAGCTGCCCCTGACTTTGGCTTAGGCCAGCACGCATGGGCTTCTGTTACCTGCAACCGAAACCAAAGCAAACCACCAAACACACACTGACTGAGACGGTCTGGCAGGCCGAAGGCCCCAGGGACTCTGGTGGAGACACTTAGGATCTGGCTGCCAGTGACTCCTGCCCCAGACCCGGGGACATGTAAAGAAAAACCCAGTGGGCCTCGGAAGCTCCTAGGCAGCCGTCCTGCCCGTGACTGCCAAGAGACCTTCCCGTCCCACCCGACCCTCGCTCCACACCCACGCCTCCTGCTCCCAGAGCTCCACGCCGGACCCAGGCACCCAATGAGCAGGTGCCTTGGGACCGGCAACCACCCTGCACGTCAAGGTGGAGTAATCACAGCTTTGCTCGTTACTGCCAGGCTCGGGGTTACGCAGTGACTTCGACCGTGTCAGCAGCCCCGTTGGAAAGACGCCACCATTCCCACCAACAGCGGAAGGAACTGAGGCTCAGATCTTGTCACAAGCCATCGCCTCACCCAGGTCACTAAGTAGGGGGAGCCAGGCCTTTGTTTGTTTCTTGCGTGAAATAAACGAGATTTATTATTAACATTCTAAAATACAAACAAAGCACAGAACATGATGTGACGGGTCTCTCTGTACTTCTCCCCCAGACGCTGAAATCCTTCCAGCGTTGTAGCCACGCTCCAGCTTGGCCCTGAAGACCCACGGATAAGCCGAAGCTCCGGGGCTCCAGGGAACAGCTCCCAGCCGTGCGGCTCACACACGGGTCCCAGGACCCCTCCCCAAGGCAGGTCCCCACAAATAATGACAGCCCCTGTAGTGGGCACTGCTGCTGCCAGTCTACCAGGTGCCTTTGTGGGGGCGGGGACAAGGTGCCCGTCCTC